AATTCTACTTCGTGGAATTTAGGATCATATATGCACCTTTCACTTCGTGTCTGGTGTTTTATGTTCTCCTGCATGGGTAGTCAACATCGTTTGACGCCCCAAGATCCTTCAGCGTAATTTCTTAGCTAGAGGTTTGAGCAATAAGGTTCGGATGCTCTGTATCCAGTAAGCACGGGGTGTAACGGGTTTTGGTTTCCCCTTTTCTCGCTTGTTAACTCTAAAACGATGGGTTTGAGGTTCTTGTCTTGCGAGTTTAGAGGTGGTTGGCACGGAGAGGTTAACAGATGGTAAATAGATCATCAGAGTCTAGTTGAGCAGCTTCTAGGCAATCATCTAATTTCCGTAGAGTTTATCAGTTGCAAACAATTTTGTTTTACTAGTTAGTGAATATCTTTCATCACTTTGGTATGTAGATATCGGAACATGGTTCCTTGAGTCATCATCCTGGCCTAATCCTCAGATAGAGATTTCTCCATCCAATGGATTGAAATTGATAGAGGAGTTGTCCTCATTATCAGAGTCTTCTGATTTGCGCTTGGCACATGTTGCGAAGTTTGAGTGGTTGCACGGATATCGTCGATCTCGTTTCTTCTCATTGTCGACGAGAGGAAGAATGGGTTTGTCACGCAACTGTTTCTCGAAGTTGCGGAACGCATGCTTTCCTTGAGCAATCTTCATGGTGAAGGAATAGGTTGAGGGTAGCTGAAAGCTATTGTGTTTGTTAACAAAATGCACTACGCTAAAAGTAGTGTAAAGTCTTTCGAGTGTTTTTTGGTTTGAGAGAATGAAAGTTATGAGAGAGATTAGAAAGCTATGAAAACTAATCAACGAGAGAGAGATCATCATCAAGGATCGTAGATCTGGCTCTCCGCGGGAGACTATAAGTGTGATAGAGTAGGTTGCGGTAGTAATCCTCTGTCTCTCCACGATCCTAAAACGGAACGGTTGGAAGATTCGTCTAGCATCGATCTAGTAGCGTGGAAGTACTCCACGCTGGCTAAAATATCTAGAGCGATGTTTCATCATCACCATAGTATGACTAGCGTGGTCATTGATAACCCTGTCTCAAATGACTATTCACGAGAGACTCAGTCATGAGTCGAACTCAAACCCTATCTAGGATCGAAGTCGCGAATAAGGCTAAGAGCCCGTGGTTAGTGAGAGCTGAGTGAGGCCGTATTGTTGAGTGCTGGACTCGTGTTAATCACACCACTTTTCTTCGCTCTTGAAAGAATGGTCGTTTATTGTGCGATGGTGACTTGTACTTTCTTTGCTGTTGTTCTTCTTCGAAGGAGCTTGCTTGGCATCACTGCCTTTGTCAAAGTTTTCAGCGGATTCCATGCGCCCACAGAATCCAATGAGAGCTGTCATCTCGCCAGTGAAAGGATCGAAGTAGTGTTAGTCCATCTTGCGCATCCAGGAACGGGTAATGCCATGACAGATGATTTCGATGAATTCGTCCTGGATCAACTGTTGATTGACACCGAAAGGTAGCAAACGTGGAAGCTCATCGGTATTCATCCGAGTGAGGTTGTTGATGTTGGCGCGAGTTGTCATCTCGCTAGCCTTACGCATCTTGCGACGCATGAAGCGTTTTTTGTTTTTCGAGAGCCTTGTAAGGACAGGATTGTTCGATCACCGCGTTGATTACAAAGGTGATGTCAGCATCGCTTAGAGCGGGTTCCGCTGCACCCTCCCATGCGGCTTGGACACGAGCCTGGAAGGCTTCTTCGGTTTCTCCAGAAGTCACATCGCGTGGATGAATTGCGTTCACAGCAATTTGTCGTAGGGCGTTATGACGCACGGCCCGATGGCCTGCACACCCAGCTTCGGAGGCACTCTTTGCAGAGCAGGAAGTCATCTCCTTGAGAAGGCAATGTTTGTCGTCGGGACTAGCAAGGTTGAGACCAACGAAGACCTTCTCCATATTTCGTAGCCCACTTGATGCTCTGACGTGTGGAGTGTTGGAACCATTGATGAAGGCTACCTTGAAGGTGTATTTGGCACTGTTTGCAACTGCAGGAACGGTGCGAAGTTTGTAGGTGGTTGCACGAGAATTGTCGATCTCGGCGTCTTCGTCATCGTCGACGAGAGGAGGAATGGGTTTGTCACGCAACTGTTTCCCGAAGTTGGTGAACGCATGCTTTCCTTGAGCAATCTTCAAGGTGAAGGAATAGGTTGAGGGTGGCTGAAAGGTATTGTGTTGTTTAACAAAATGCACTACGCTAAAAGCTTAGTGTAAAGATCTTCGAGTGTTTTGTGTTTGAGAGAATGAAAAGTTATGAGAGAGATTAGAAGCTTATGAAATAATTAACGAGAGAGATCACCATAAAAGGATCGTAGATCTGGTCTCCCGCGGAGACTATAAAGTGTGATAGAGTAGGTTGCGGTAGTTATCCTACGTATCTCCACGCATCCTAAACGGAACGCGTGGAAGATTTGTCTTGCATGGATCTATTAGCGTGGAAGTACTCCACGATGGCAAAATATCTAGGAGCGATGTTTCATCTTCAACCTAGTATGACTAGAGCGGTCATGAGAAACCCTGTCTCAAATGAACATTCACGAGAGACTCAGTCATGAGCAAAACTCAAACCCTATCTAGAAACGAGTCGCGAATAAGGATAAAAGCCGTTTTTGTTAAAAAATTTTTTGGCCATTACTTTCACCTCTTCCCAATCTCGAGGACGAAAGGGCAGGAACAAGAAGAAGGAATCATCCACGACGCCAACAGGCACTCTTGGATCTATCTGCAAACCTCATGTCACCCTCTGGTTACAGACAGGATCTGCTCTCATCCAGCTCAACCGAATCCAGGAGCTCTGACAGTTCCTACCACCCCTCCGATGTATCACAACAGTATCTCACTGGAGATGCATCCAACTCCTTCGCTGCTCTCCAAGACTCCGATGACGAGAAGGATTTTCATCAGGCCGAAACACACTAAGCCAACGTGGTCCACAGGCCGCTTCACAAACGGCTATTGCCATACCTTCCGGGGTACACTGTCACGCCACTCCTTCGCCGGTACCTCCCGATGCAGATGACAACACTCGTTCCCTATATCGCTACGCAGTTCCAGACTACTGTGGTTCGACATAAGAACGATCCTGGTTCCCTTGTTGATAGGGGAGCAACGGCGGGATCCTTGGTAAAGATGCTCGCGTCATGGTTACACACCAACGACAGGTTTATGTCACTGGCATTGACAACCATGAGATGAACGGGCTGAAGATCTTCGATGGAGTTGGTAAAGTCACCTCATACTGAGGTCCCATCATAGTTGTGCTCCGTCAGTATGCCTACCATGGTATCAACCGTACCATCCATTCATCTGGTCAGATCGAGCACTACAAGAACCGAGTAGCTGATCGATCCCTCCTATGTGTGGGCAGACAATGCATCCACACCAACGATGGCTTCATCATTCCTTTGGATATTGTCAATGGACTTCCATACATGCGAATGGGCCCTCCTTCTGACAATGAACTTGCAACACTCACCCATGTCATTCTGACATCTGGCGATTTATGGGATCCCAAGGTTCTCGACTTCAAACACAGTGAACACGACGACTGGTACAACCGTATCAAACTCGAAGATGATGCACAGCCCGACTATGCTTTCGATTCACAAGGGCATTAACAACACCGTGAACCACATCATGCACCCACAATTGAAGCAATCACTCCACAAGACGAGAATCCACTGAGAATCAACCATGCTACCTTTCTCGAAGCCTACAAGATTGTCTTCAACCTCAACCAACCGTGCACCCTTGCAGAATCCGTCTATTCTGCCTTTGATACTGATACCGTCCCATCAAAAGACCACATCATTATCCCAGCCACCGAGTCCACCCCTAAACCACCAGACTACCGAAAATACAGCCCATTCTTTCTCCACATTCCCGTTGAGAAGATTCGCCGCACATTTGAACGGACTACCCAACATGCGCCCAATATCCAATCTGGACATCACATCAAGCAAACAATTAAGTCACCTTTCCCGGCTCATTATGTATGGCGACGCAATGAACCAGTTGCTACGGTTACTGTCTTTGCGGATACACCTGCCATTTGCACCGGAGGTCAAATGATGCCACAAATCTTCATTGGGCATAAATCGCTTGTCATCGATGTATTCGGTTTGTCTTCCACTGCGGATTTGGTCAACACCCTTGAGGATTGCATACGAACAAGGGGAGCAATGGACAAGCTCATCTCGGATGGACACTCAGCACAAACTTCCGCGCGAGTAAAAGAAATACTTCGTGCGCTATGCATTGACTATTGGCAATCTGAACCCCACTACCAGCATCAAACCTCGCGGAAACACAGATGGAAGCCATCTTTAAACGCAAACCACAACTGGTTCATGAACTGGCGAAACATTGATCCCGAAGCCTGGCTACTGTGCATGCAATGGCAAGGTTCATGTTGATGAACCAGTTACAGCACAGAGAAAAATCGAATGGATGGAGACCACCACTTAAAGTTCTCACTGGACAAACCGTGGACATCAGCATTCTGCTCGTAATCCTATTCTGGGATGTTGATTATGTTCCACGATACAAAGACCCCAAGGGTACATGCCCAACCCCGACACAACAAGTCCTCAGAGATTCGCGGACGCTTCGTTGGGTTTGCCTGGAACGTTGGACATCAACTCACCTTCAAGATCCTCACCGATGATACCAAACAGATCATATGTCGGTCCAGAGTCAGACTCGCAAAGGAAGGGATCAACAACCTTAAACTCGATGTCGAATCAGGAGCAGTTCCAGAACGCATATACGTCAGGTCTAAAAGAGACGAAGAAGGCGATGATGCTAGACTGCCCACTATCGACATGAACCAGAGCCCTTTTGACCTTCAAGACGATGACGAAGAAGGGGAGATACGGGAGACCATTCCAGGAGAGCCTACTCCAATGGACGAACCACCTCTCAGGGAGATGCCCCAGGTAGACACGGTCAATGACGATGATGACAACCATTGCGAACCATCAGAAGGACGAGCCCGGGAAAGGATCATCTAGTGCAGAGGAACCATTCATCTTCAACAAGCGGCATATGAAGACAGACAATCCCAACGAATCAGGATTACCTCCTGAACAGATGACAGAAAGAACCTTTCTCATTCCACCCGCAGAAGATGGAACCCGAGTAGAGCCAAGATCCTTGAAAGAGTCAAGTACCACAAGGAGAAGGTCAACAACATCCCAACAAGATCAAGTTCAAAAATTGCAGAGTCAACGACGAGTACGATGAGATCGTAGCCTACAACCATATCGTGGACTACATTGAACAAAACCAAACCTGGGATGGCACATGGAAGTTCCGCAAGATCTTGGTTCATCAAAGTCCCATCAGATCATCTGACAAGGAACGATACAAGGGGTCACGATACAACGTCCAAGTTGAATGGGAAACCGTGGAGATAACTTGGGAGCCGCTCACCACCAAAGACAAGATGGGAGTACATGAGTCTGATCCAGTCAGGTCGCCATCTAGCTGAAGAACACGGTCTGCTAGACACAGCTGATGGAAACTACCAGGACTCAAGAAGATCGCAAAGACTCAAAAGCGACTCGTACGAAGCGGCTAACCAAGCAAAACTCACTCCTTCAGGACCAAGCCCGTGTTCATGTACGGATTCCAAGTTCCGCGCAACCATGATCAAGCCATGGAACTAGATGCGCGCAATGGAGATACCAAGTGAGAGATGCCGAGATGATCGAACTCAACCAGATTGATGAGTACGAGACCTTCATCAACAAAGGAAAGGGACATAACCCGGACCAGATTGGAAGAAGATCCGAGTGCATATGGTGTATGCAGTCAAACACATGGGCGACACAAAGCACGCTTGTCGCTGAGGACATCTCACTGATACACCAGTACACTCCGTCTATTCCAGTGTGGTTTCGTTACGTGGGATTCGTATCCTCACATCCTCGCAGAACTCAATGATGCGAAGTATGGGCAACAGACATCGGAAAAGCCTACTTGGAATCATTACGAAAGAGAAGGTGTACGTTGTGCAGGGCCCGAGTTTGGAGATCGGAAGGATGCACCCTCATCATCAGCCTGCCCTATACGGACTCAAGTCTTCTGGATTACGAGGCATGAACGATTGCAGATGTTCTCGTTCGATGGGATTCTTTCTTCAAAAGCCGAATCAGACATCTGGATGCGAGACAAAGGAGCTACTACGAATACATCGCTTGTACGTAGACGACCTCCTTATTGTCAGCAAAGACCATCCAAGATCATCGCGACATTGAAGGGGAGCACAAGTTCAAACTGAAGGAACCGGTGCCATCAGCTTCCACCTAGGATGTGATTTCTCCGTGATGAGAACGGAGTACTGAGTTACGCACCTCGCAAATACATTTAGAAGGTACTCAGCAACTACCAACGGATCTTCGGACACATGCCCAAACAAGCCTCATCTCCACTCATCAAAGGAGACCATCCAGAGACTGACACAACAGAGCTACTCGATATGGACACACAAAAGATATAACAATCCCTCATCGGTAGTCTACACATGGGCAATCCAAATTGGAAGGTTCGATATCGCCACGGCCACCATGACGATGTCCAGATTTCGGGCAGCACCAAGAATGGGTCACTTAGAATGAGTCAAGAAATCTGCGGGTACCTTTCCAAGATTCGACACGGCATCATACGCATCCGAAAGGAGGAACCGGATTACTCCGCGATTCCTAAGAAAGAGTACGAATGGAATACTCATGCTACCATGTGCCAAAGAAGTTCACCGCACACGCACCGGTACCTCGAGGCAAACGGTCATTCTCACCTCATATGTGGATGCGAACCTTACCACGATCTCATCAGTGGACGGTCAGTTACCGGAGTTCTGCACCTAGCGAACAAACTCCATCGACTGGTTCAGCAAGCACAGTCAAAAGTCGAGACCGCAACGTTCGGACTGAATATGTTGCAGCCCGTACCGCCACTGAGCAGATCATTGACCTACGAAGCACATTCAGTACCTAGGAGTACTGGTGACACCGACCATGATGTTCGGAGACAACGAGACGGTAGTCAACACCGCTCATGCCACACTCAAAGATTCTCAAAAGACACAATCACAATGCGCTTTCCTACCACCGTACTAGGGAAGCTGTTGCTGCAAGTATCTTGAGATTTCATCATATCCCTGGATCTACTAACCCTGCAGATATCCTCAGCAAACACTGGGACTATACATCAGTATGGCCTATGCTGAATGCACTACTGTTTTGGTCAGGAGATACCAAAGATTGCGGTAAGAAACACTCAGAGTCGACAGTCGCCACTGAGGGGAGTGAAAGCGTTACAGTTCCTCCCATGACTCAGAGTATCCGTGAGTAGATTGAGTCATGCTTTATGAGTCAACACGATGGAACAGAGAACGCCGGCAAGAACACGTTCTCAACGAAACCAAAGGACACGGTAAATTGGAGTATTCGACAGGAGTAAAGCATCCTGCCAACGAACCGTTTCCCGCAGATACCACGTTGACTTCCGTATGAATCAAGATCAACTACCACGATGCATTGATCTAACATGCTACGAACTAGCTTTACTGATCGCATCAATCAAAGCTCACAACACAGATTATGAATTACTAAGAAGCGAACTTTGCATTTACTTTGCACTCGTCTTGAATAGTTGCAGCTGATCTCGTTGGGTGGTAGCTACCTCTACAAGATCCCTCTATTCAAGTAGTATTTCCTCACGTTAGCAACTTGCACATACAGGAAAATGGGTACCGACACAGGAATCACCACCAAAACAGTAGGAAATAATAAGAAGGGATGAATCCGGTAGGAGGATCCACTCTCTTGTGTGTTGTCATGTGTCGTATAGCCTCCTCCTCTGGTTGACGACTGTTGCCATTCAATGACTCGACGATGTTCAGGCTGGTGATAGGGCTGGAGTTAACAGAGCATCCTCTTGTTTGTAGCGATCGATCGAAGCCTCTCCTCTTGTTGTCCGGAGCGACCGAAAAGGACTCGACAATGGTAGTTCGCCGGCCGTCAGCAGTAAGAGAAGAGAAAGTAAGAAATAGCTATGGTTTTCTCTTCTATTCCGACACTGAAGAAAACCGGCGACTTACCCTTGTTCTCCAACTTGGCCGTCCATGGCTGAGAACTGACTGCCATCCCATGGTCCATAGGATTCAATGAGGGATGGCTTTCGAATCTGCACCGGAGACGACCGGCTTGAGTGAGGCTTGGATAACAGAGGTGCGACCGATCGATTTGATTCGAATAATTTAATAAAAACAACTCACCTGTTGACGGCTGAGCTCGGAATTCTCTCCTGAATACCATAGAAATCCAATGAGGGAGAGAAGTCAGCGCTGTACCTTCAATTAATACTCTTACCTCGAATCGATCGGCCGATTGGATAAAGCACTCCGATGAGTGGAAATCCACGTGAATTCCCATTGTGGTGCGAAGCAGCTGTGCTGGTTTAGCCAGGTGGAAGAATCGCTGTGACATTTGTATACTCCAACAGTAGGGTCAGCAGTGCAGCCATCTGGCAATACAGAAATAGCTGAGGAACTCTATATACCCAAGGGTGATGCAGTTCTTCAGCCAAGACCAATATAGAAAGTTAGCTTGCCAGCACCAGCCAAATGAGATGCAAGAGAGCCAAAGCTGCATGGCTGAGTGCTGTCGAGGATTTTGTGTTCAGTTGATTTTAGCATAGTTTAAAGAAGAAGAAGTAATGAAAGGATAGTTGACCAGATACAGCCTCAGTAGCACTAGTTTCCCCACAGTTGAAGCCTTCCTGTGTGGATTGTGCCAAGGCAAAGAGTGAGTTGTTCAATCATTGCTGTGGAGATTGAATAACAGGGGCAGCCAGCTTTGTGGCTGGCCATTCTCACTGTCAGAGGAGTGAGGCTCCAAGCAGAGCTCTCCACTCCCAGCCAGCTCTTTGTGCATCTACCCTGACTGGATCTCATCGGATTAACATTGTCGCAGATTGCACGCACAAGGAGTGGCTCTACAGTGGAAATCGAGTGGAGAAAGAGCGAGCGAGCTGTCGAATTGGTTGATCGGGACCTGCCGACAGATCGACGACCGAAAACTGGAATCGCGACCGTTTCCGCCCAAACCAAGACGGTCACCTACTAACCTGAGGGTGCTCGAGACGATACACCAGCCAGTTCTTTGTTAATCGGCTTGGTTACGGCTGCCGATCGAGTACAAGCAGCGGCAGATCCTCATCGTCGCTCTTTTCGAAAATCGTACGAACTGAGTCGTGCCTCCGGAGGATACTGCGGTGAACCGGTACTCACACGGTACTCACACGGTACTCACAGAACCGGTACCGAACCTCTGTTCCGAAAGCGCGCCGAGCCAAAGATCCGAGTCGCCTCACATTTTCCTCGGAATTCCGAACTCGGAAGATACCTGTCGAAGATACGTGTTGATTCAAGGTGTCGATCAACCACTCCAAGGGTAACTCGCAACACCACGAGAGCACCTTCCAGTCGGTTTCGAAGGATTCCAAGGGTACCAGTGTGTCAAGCAGCCTCTGTTTAGTCATTGACTAGCAGTGCAAGACCTCAAGTCTACATTTGGATTTTTCGTGACAGTGTTTGTTCAACACCTCTACACCACACTCAGCCAGCACAACAGCGGTCATCATGGGTACCAGTAGAAGCAAGAGGAGGAAGAAGCAGCAGCAGCAGCGCCAACAGCAACAGCTGCAGCAGCAACAACAGCAACAGACACCACCACAGGATGTGGCAACACCGTTGGCAACAAATACACCACCGGTGCCACCACCACCACCACCGGCAACACCACCAGGTAGCACTGAACCACCACCATCCACTCCTGTCAAGTCACCAGTGGATCCACCCTCAGTCCACCGGCTACCTGTGGTTCCCCCACCATCTTACCAACCCAGTGAATCATCTGTTGCATCCTCCAACCTTGCCAAGCATGATACCACCATGATTAGCCAACAGCTAGCACAACTGGTGGAGGCATTGCACCAACAAAAGGAGGAGACCATGGAACGCCAGGCTGCTTTTGAGGCCAGGCTATCCCAACAACAACAGGACATCAACCAGTCTAGTGTCTCCATCCATGGCTTGGTCCACACCTTGATGGACCAAACCAACAAGCAACTTGGCCTCATGGGTATTGGAGGAATCAGCCCTATTCCTTCCAATGCATCCTCTTCATTGGATCACCATCCTAATGGTTTACTGCCCATGCGACAAGGTGTGGAAGGAACCACTGGTTCTATAGCACAGTCTCAAGGCAGTTCAGAACCAATTGGTTTGGGTTCCGGATTGATGAGTGATGTTGAGGACCATACTGGTCCATCCCCTCAGCCCCAAGTGGATATAGATGTTGCCTCCACTTGTGGAGATGAACATTGACATTTTGAGGGCCCTCAAGGAGGAGATAAGACTACAAAGACTACTTCAACCAACCAACACAACCCAACCACACCAACACATGCAAGATATACCTTCAACATTCCCCCTGCTACACCTACCACCGGTGTCATCCAACACGCCCCACTCACCTGTCAACCTTAGCAGTCACAGCCATCTTCGCAATACCCAAACGGTACCACAGATCTGGAGACGACAACTCGGTTCTACAAGACAGCCAGACCTCATTTTCCAGGAGGCTTGCCCCACAGCAGAGAACACACTACTCAGGAAGGATGGATCATCAACCCTGACATGCGGAAGTATGGGTACGCTAATGATAGGGCATTGAGTGCTGATGAACTCCCTGCCATTTTTATTTTTTGTTTCTCTAATGTCCAACCACCTGCACATGGGTCAACAGAAGTATCCGACGGTTTATTCTTCACTGACCAAGGGGAGTGGATCATCTCTGTGTAAGGATAGGTTCTTCAACCAAGAACAGAATGAACAGCCACCCACCCACACACCAGTCACCACAGGCCTCACTCCCACCACAGCCTACACCTCACCTGGATACCAGACCGTGCCCATGGAGGAGCTATCCAAGCAGGTAGACAGTGATATCGTAAGGCCCAAGTCCAAACCATCTCTCTTCTCCAATCTAGAAGGGACATCTCCCATGGACAAGGTAACTCAAGGCAGGATTCCCGACAGATTTGGCGATCCTGGAGACCCTGGTGGCTCCGGGTACCATGGTGGTGGTGGCAACCACAGAGGCTTTAGCAGAAAGGCAGGTATGGTGGTTCCCCAGGAGGAGGACCCCCTGGAGACCCTTGGGATCCCGATGGCGGTGGTGACCCTCCAGCTGGCCCTGGAGGAGGTGGAGGAGGAGACGGTCCCAGACGCAAGTTGTTCCATGCTAAACCCGATGCCAATGCGTACCCCACCCTCAAGTCCAAACAAGGATTTCGACCAATGGTACAGCGTGTTTATAACAACGGCTAGGGCACAGGGATTCTACGCTCTCTTCGACTCCAATTATGTGCCATTGGACCAGGAGTCAGCTTCTGAGCTCCGTAGATGAACGAATGGTTCTATGCGGTCCTGCAGAAAATCATCAAGACAACCAAGGCAAGGTGATAGTCAAGGACACTTTCATGATTGTGACTGCTTTCATATCCTACATGCATTGATCCAGGATGCCCACACCTCTGTGAAGGTACACTGGAGTCTGTGGAGACCCTCAACTGGCTCACCAGGGTCAAGTACTCCACAACCAAGGGTTCTGCGTGGAGTTCATCATCCACTACGATGAGGTTCTCACCCGGTACAATGACTCCAAGACCAACGCGCAGGATAAACTCAGTGATAGCATCCAGAAACTGTTCCTACAGCAGGCTTTCATCGACATCAAAGTCCTCAATGACATCAGCGCCAGAGAACAAGGAGAACATGTGCAGTAACGTGCTCACATGTCCTATTCATATGAGAAATACAAGGAGGTCTTGACTAATGCTGCTACCAGATTTGATGTCAACCACAAGCTTCTACCCCCTAGTAGATCTCGCAGAGCCAACATGACTATGATTGAAGAGTCTGAGGATGAAGTCGGGCAACCTGATGACATGGATAGCCCACCAGATGACCCCACTCATCTCCAAGCGTTTGCGCCATGAGAGACCCCTCTGTCCGGCTCCCAGACCAACATTGACCCAACTTTCCAGCACGGGCAAGAAGAATTGGCATCAATTTGATGACCACGACAAGAAAGTACTGATGGCATCACAGCCGCCAGCACCCGCCGGTCGCCAAGCCAACGTTGCCAACAGCACCATGGACCCCAA